AGTGGCAGAAGGGTATTAATAAATTAATTTGGGGTGGGAAGAAATCAAGGGTAAAGTTTAAGATTTTACAAGATGCTCGAGAAAGAGGTGGACTTAAAGCACCAAATTTGAAATTATATTATGATGCGGCCACTTTAACTTTAGTAAGTGACTGGCTTAATTTAACAAATAGAGACATTCTTGTTCTTGAAGGGTGGGATTTATTACATGGTTGGCACGCATATTTAATTTTTGATAAGAAAGTAGATTGAGTCTTTAAGTCACATATTTTAAGATATGCTTTACTTCGAGTTTGGAAAAAATATTATTATAAGTTAAATTATAAAATACCTATTTGGGGGATTCCTGGACAAGCAATTCAGGGGATTTCCAAGGCGGTGAATTTTGATAACATTTCGTATAAAGAGTTACTTATTTGGTCGGGTACTGATTGGCAATTAAAGTCTTCAGATGTGTTGAGGCAAGAAAACATCTTACAATCGTGGTTTCAATATTTGCAAATAGTGCAGAGATGGACTTTGGATAACAAAGTGGGAATTACTTTAGTAAATGAAAATTTGGTAATCCAGATCAAGGATCAGAAATATGCCCATATTAAAAGAATTTACAATGAGTTAATAAAATTGGATTCAGAAACAGAGTTAGTAAAACATTGTATGATTAAATGGGCCCAGAATATTCAGGAACCGATTTCATTGGATTTATGGGAGGTAATTTGGACCAGAAATGTTAAATTTACGCAGGCCCAAAATTTGAGGGAAAATTTTTATAAAATGTTTTATAGATGGCATCTGGATTCCTAAAAAGTTGTCCTGTATGTACCCGAACCTGCAACCTAAATGTTGGAGATGTGGTTGCTTGGATGCAACCTATTTTCATGTTTGGTGGACTTGTAAAGATATTAAAGCCTTCTGGATTATGATTTGGTGGAACATTCAAAAGGTTTTTAGAAGGCAGATTAAGTTTACTCCCCAACTGTTTCTTTTGGGCATTTTTGTGGATTTTAATGTTAAAGAAAATATTTTATTGTTGAATTTAATAACAGCAGCAAGATTATTGGTGGGTCAATATTGGAAGAAGGATACTCTGCCTTCTTTAGAAGAATGGGTATTTAAGGTTTCTAATTTAGCAGAAATGGCTAAAATTTCTGCTTATTTAAAGGACCATTCACAAGAGAGATATTTTAATGTATGGAGAAGATGGATAGAATATGTTCAGAAGAAGTATGGAACTACAAAGTTTCATTTATTTTATGAGTAATGAATTTGTTTATAAATTTATGATGTTAAAGTTTGAAGAGAATTAAGGGTTAATATGATTTTGTTCATTGTATAATTAGTAAGCTTAAGTAGATTGTGTTTAATATGTTTGTATAATCCTGTACTTTGCTCTGGGAAGTCGGGGGTGGGAGGGGGGTGGGGGGTGGGGGGTGGGGGGTTGATGGGTCGAAGTTTAAGTAGTTTGGATAAACTAGAAATAGTTTTACTGTATATAATATTAATGTTTCAATTTGGAGAGAGGAATTGCTCGGGCATTTCCCCTGGACTGCATCCGGAGCGAGAAGGTAGAAGAAGGTGAGAAGTAAGTAGGAAGGTTGAGGAGAGGTGGAGAGTGAGGAAGAGGAAGAAGAGGGAAAGAGGCAAGTTGGTTGGGGGTGGATGCAGTTTGGGGGGAAATGGGTGGGCAATACCGAAAGTGGTGTGTATCAATTTGTTTTATTTTTTATCTGAAGTATTTTTAAGATTGTAATGTATTGTAAAATAGAAAATAAAAACTTTATAATAAAAAAGGGGGGGAAATACTATCTTACTTATATCTCTTATCCCATTTATTCTAAAGCCCTTTTATAGCCTTATTTATTTATTTATTTAGCCATATTCAAACAAGTGTTTGCTTGTATAATATTCCATCTGGTAGGGCGAGTCAAGTCTCTTAAGCCCATCTCTAATCTTCTTCTTCTTCTTTTTGACTTGTCAAACAGTTCTTGTATTTTTGTAGTTGTTGTTAATATGCAAGATGTATGCTTTTTGCCTCCCAAACAATGATCCTCCTTTCTTCTCAGGTTTATTTTGAAGTTCTAATGCATAAGGTATCTTTTCCATATTTATTTATTCCATATTTCTATATTATGAATTTTTTCTTATTTGTATTAAATTATAATCCCCTTCATTTGTGACTTTGCCAATTAAGTCATTTTTTTCTAGTTCACATTCTGTTATCTGATTTGTTTGTTCATTCTTTACCATCATTCTTTGAATGTGTTTTGATTGTAAATTTAAGTTAGAAGTGTATTCATTTATGTTGTCAAAATAATGTTTAATCTCCTCCTGGTTTAGAGCTATTGTGATTTGTATCTGTCATAGCATTGCATAAATTTTTTCTTAGAAAGTATTTGTCTTATCTTGAAATGTTGCTTCTAGAGGTCTTTGATCTTTCTGGCTAAATCCTTCAAGAGACTAGAAGTCTCAAAATTTTTGTTGCTTAAGTGAAAAATCTGTTTAATGAGTTTTGTCCCATTTTACAACCGTTCTTACTACAGTGGTTAAGTCAATCACTACTATTGTTAAGTTGGTAACATTGTTGTTAAATGAATTTGGCTTTTTCATTGACTTTGCTTGTCAGAAGTGATCACACAACCCAGGGACACTGCAACTGCCATAAATATGAGTCACATACTAAGCATCTGAACTTTTTTCACATCACCGTGGGAATGCTGCAATGGTCATGTGACAAACTGAATAGCATCAGCCATTTTGATGGCTGAGATCTAAGGCATCTGGTCTTATGAGAAGCTGTGGCATATTTTGCTTCAATTCTCCACTGCTCAGCAACTTTCCTCAGGGCCATTGTAAATTTGAATGGTCACTAAATGAATTGTTGTAAGCCAAGAACTATCTCTATTAATAACTATTTCCTCACTGTGGAGGGAGACTGAGTGGAAAGTACTAAAAATCTGTCTCCAGCTTTGCTTGTACAAGCTTTCGGATTATGGCCTTTATCTTGCAGCTTGAAGATATATGGAATTCAATTCCCAGAATTCACCATGCTGGCCGGGGATTTGTGGAAATTGAAATCCATACATCTTCAAGTTGCCAAGGTCGAGAAACACTGGTTTAATTGGTTGAAAGTACAATCAGTTCATTGATATTGTGGCTTATAAGATGCTGTAAGGAGCTCCTAGACTTCCAGCAGCAAGACCCTGCTTTAAATAACTAGGATCCTGGAGTGAGAATTCAGGGGGTGATAAAAGTGTCTGTTTCACTTCCCTATTGAATACGTCAACTCTCCTGTTTTGGAAATCTTTCTATGCCCAAATCATATCACCACTAAGAAAGCAAAGCCTTTTTCACTGAAGTGTTAAGTGTTAAGAAGACCCTGGTCATATCTTATTTCAGAGTGTGGTGAGCTAGCTGTGTAATATTTAATGAAGTTTTGCTTTCATAAAACCATGTTTGAACTGGTCGTTGGAGATGATGAATGTAACATAAATGAACATTGTTCCCTTGTAGTCTTCTTTAACTCTAGCAGTTTTCTCTGCGCTGGGACATTGATCAATGAGGAATGGGTGCTCACTGCTGCACATTGCAACTGGTGAGGGCATTACAGAATGTGGAAAGGTTGAGGGAGATCGTGTTTAGATATCCAGATTTTTTAATAATGTTTCTGCTGGTTTTTACAGACTTCTCTGTGCATTTTGAATGCGTGTTATGCTGTTACTCTTATTGCTCCTCACAATCATATCTTGAGCTATGCTGTTTATATTTATGGTTGAATTTCCATCTTCTTCACCATAGTATTCATATCTTTCCTTTTTCTGGGGGATATAATAATAACAAGAATAACAAAATCTGGAACATTACCTGAATACCATCAGCATTGACAAAATCACCACAGTCAATTGCAAAAGGCAGCTTTACTTGGAACATCCTGTGACAATCCCTGTAATACCATGGAACCACAAAATTTTCCTACCCCAGGTCCTTGGGAAGGACTTTATAGATGGATAAAAATGCCAAATCCAGTCTAAATATCTGGCTAACTGCTCAACTAATCAGAAAATATTAACCATATGCTGCCTGTCTCTGGGGGTTTGCCATAAGAAAATATTTTTTTAAAAAAAATCAGTAAAACATAAAAGATAAAAAGATGATGAAGTGAGAGGCTTCTATCTCCCTTATCAAAGGCCTGGGTGAGGCACTACACCTTAATACCTCTTCTAAACAAGAGCAGAGTGGGCACCATCAAGATTCTGTGTTCGTCTTTATCTATCCCACCATCCTGGGATTGAGACAGGATGTGCGCAATACAAAGTCATCATTAGTACTGTAACCACATGGGTTCTATCTTTAACACAGTTATCTATCATTTATAAGTGCAACATTCACACAATACACATCCAAGTCAAGAAAGAGATGGATTCAGACTATTTGCTGAGCTTACTGAATGCTAAACAGCACATAGGTGAATTCATGCTTGAAGTTTTTGCATGAACAATGGAAATAGCTTATTCAATTAGCTTGAATACATTTCTTCAGTGAACCCAGATCTCTAGGACATTGGCTGTATCTCTTCCAATTTCTGGCAGGTTTTCCCCCCAAACACAGTAGGAGAAGGTAACTTATGGCCCTTTCTTGTTTGGTGCTAAGGATCCTGCTTGAGGGCCAAAATGAGGTCAAGGACCATCCCAAGTAATATAGAGTTTACTTTAAATTGTTGTTGTTAACTTCTTGTTTTTCTTGTAGGAGAAATATCTGGATAAAGTTGGTATGCATAGCAAAACTGTACCAAATGAGGATGAGCAGACAAGAGCCCCAAAGGAGAAGTTCTTTTGTCTTAGTAGCAAAAACTTTGAGACAAGGACATCATGTTGATCAGGCTGGACAGCCCTGTTAGCAACAGTGAACACATTGCGCCTTTCAGCTTGCCTTCCAGCCCTCCCAGTGTGGGCTCAGTTTGCCATATTATGGGATGGGGCAGAATCTCACCTAGTAAAGGTAGGGATCTCTATCTATACCCTCAGACCCCAGCTTTTGATATATCATCAACAAGGTCTAGGGTCCCACTATGTCACCCATGAATATTGGAATGTGGATGGACAATGGGATTCCCTAAGATTCCATTTCTTCATCTGTTCCACACCCACAAGGTCCTTGGAATAAAAGAAATAAGTAAGGAACTGGCATGCTGTATAGCTAAAAAAAAAATCCTATAGGTTCAGGTTTATTTATAGCAGTGCTGTTGGGAATCAAAAAAATCCCATTAGCATGGCAGTCTTACCTGGCTTCATTACCTTTAATAATGGGGTGTTTTGTGAATAGCCAAGGCCATTTTGGAAATGGAGAAGTCTCACGCGGAGGATGTTTTCAGAGTATATTTACCACTTGCTCTCAAAATACCAAATATGAACTCAAAAACATGGTCTATCCTTGGATGGATATAAAGTCTCTGTGGATGGTTGCAGAGGATTTCTTCCTTTTAAGTCCTGGTGGTGCAGCAGTTAGAATGCAGTATTGCAGGTTATCTCTGCTCCCAGCCTGGAATTTGATCCTGCCGGGATCAAGGTTGACTCAGCCTTCCATCCTTTTGACGTTGATAAAAGGAGGACTCAGACTGTTGGGGGCAATATGCTAACATTGTAAATCACCCAGAGAGTTTAGTGTATAGGTCTAAGTGCTATTGCCATTGCTAGTAAGGCCATGGAAGTGTTACGTGCACTCTCAGCTTTGGCTTATGGTCATCCACACATTCAAGCCTGCCAAGGTAGGTAGATCTTGTAAGCCCACCTTGTTTTCTACCTAGGTTTCTACCAAATAGGTGTAGTTAGAGCAGACAAGTCACACAGCCTTTGTCAAGAGCTGGGAAATAATTAAGGACTCACACAAATAATTTTCAACTAACTACTGAGGTACTACAGGTTTTTAGGAATACATGGAGACGCAGTGAATTTAAAGTAACAGCAAAACTTTACTGCTTGCGATGTAAATTTGCTCTTTCTGATATCCACACATGCACCCATCCATGTTTAGAGACCTCCTTCTCAATTAGGCTGCCAGGCACCAGCTAGAGGGACAGAAACCCCTAAGTTGTGGATCCAAAGATGATTCAAAGAGTGGGTGAGCTTTAGGACCCCTTTTTATCCTGAAAAGTTCTTGATTTGTTGATTAGCTGGGATTGGGGTTTATTCCATATTCTCAGGCTCAACTTTGTCTGATTCAGATGACATTTTTCCTTTGTTCCCTTACACTTATTTCCATCTCATGTGTCCTCCCCAAGGGATCTTTTGGACAAGATTCCTGGCTTTTTGTTCTTATACACAATACAAACCTATGCATCTCCTTCATCTTCAGATATGGAAGTTTCAGTATGCTGGCTGAGGAATTTTGGGAGTGGAAGTTCACAAATCTTAAAGTGGCCAAGTTTGGAGACCGCCATTCTAGGTCATCTCCAGGGGATGCGAGATCAGTTCTATGACTTTTGAACTAGCAAAATCCCCACTTTTCCAACAAGGCAATCTTTGCATAGAGTGCCAGAGAAATTTGAGAAACCTTCAAATGCCCATCAGTTGATTTAAGACCTATTAATATCTTAACAAAAAAAATTAACTAAATCTGTTTTTCCCAGGTATCCCTTTGAATGGCTTTGAAAGACAATACTTCCTATTCCCAGGCAATGAGATCAGCTCTGTTAGTTGGAGACAATGGAAATTATAGCTCTATGCATCTAGGTGGTAAATTGTGAAAGGTAGAATTTTGTCTATTTTTTATTTTTTTTCAGCGAGTTATCCCGATGTTCCTCATTGTGCTAACATTAACCTACTCAATTATGAGGTGTGTCTAGCAGCTTACCCAGAATTTGGGTTGCCGGCGACAAGTAGAACATTGTGTGCAGGTATCCTGGAAGGAGGCAAAGATACATGTGGGGTAAGATGATCCGTTTTAAGACAGACTCCTAAAGAAATGATGCCAAATTTCAAAGCTATGACAGAGATCTAGCCTTGAAGGCATTTGTAGAAACATACAAAGTTAGACTCAAATAGGACTTCCATTGGAGTAAGAAATGCTCAAAATAGTGTTGCAAGGATAATGTCCCATTTAATTTCAGTATGAAACAATCTCAGCAAAATGGAGGCCTGTTTTAGGGTGAGGTGCAAAATTTTCTGACTCTAAAATGGACCATTCCAAATATTTTAACCTCTGAATATCTTTCCATTTCTGTCCACTTCTGGGACAGTGGGGTCCTTGATGCTCTCTGAGCTTGTCTTCTTGCAGATGTTTCATTACCCAGCTAGGTAACATCATCAGTGCTAGACTATTCTCTTCTATTAATACTTCTGTGGCATTTACAATACTCTCATATGCAGTCATGCAGTCACCCCACAAACATATCCATATACCTGGGTCCCACTGTTGCCTAAAAAGAATCCCAGATTAAGCCCCACTTCCCAATCGCTAAATAGAACCTTTTGAGAACCATGTTTTCATGTAAATTCTTAGGTATCCACAGCAATAAAATCATATAAATTGTTGCTTATTTTGTGATCCTTTGGTTTTGCAAAGGAATGGCCTGTTAAATGGCAGCATTTGAACAACTGGGCTTAAAAGCTGAAGAAGGTCTGACCTGGACTTCCGGTTTTGTGTGCTTGAAACTGAGTGAGGAATTTGATCTTCTCTTTTCTATTCTATATTTAAATTCCTGGAAAAGATCCCCAAGAAGCAAAATACCTCCGAAAGGGAAGGAGGGGGATTTCCGCCCCACCCTTATACTAAGGGAAGTGGCGAATTAATCTTTTTATGGAGCATCAAAATATATGGAAGTGAAACAAATATAAAACCTGAAATTTAAAACTTTACATAACAGAAGAGCACCTTTCCTAAAATGATTACCTGGGGGGGGGGGAATGAAAGGTACAAAGTTATCTTGCCTGCAGACAGGAAAACAATACCAAAAATGACATGCACATAATTACTGGAGATTAAGTAGATGATACATAATACAGGATTGCCCTAGATATTTTATTCTAAGTAGAACTTGCTCACAAATCATTGTCTACTCCCTCATGTATGCCGTCTTACTCTCTTGTAATCCCTTCCTCTGTAATGAATGTAAATACCAACATTAATTCTTTTCTAATTATCTCAGTGCTGGAGTGAGCATTCCAAAGGACAGAGGAATGGGGGAAGGGGCTGTAAGAGCTACTCTTTTACTTGGCTTCCTTGTGAGTCAGGTTTTGGAAACCTTTCCCACCATTTGTCCTCACCCAGATGTTTGGGATAGTATTCTTTGGACACTACAAAGCAGGAATCTTGAAACTTGGCCCTTTTATGACTTGTGGACTTCAACTCCCAAAATTCCTCAGCCAGGCACATTTGTGGTCATGTGATTGGACTTAGTAACAGTTTTGTTTAACAACTGAGTTGCCTGTCAAGGACTCCTGCTACAATCTGATTCTCCTAGCTGCAATCAGTGAAACAAATTAAATCTGCTCACATCAGCTATAGAAATATGTCTGGAACTCCTTCCTGCTAAATAGAAAAAAGCCTTGGCATCCTTACCAGTGACCAACAGCTATTTTAATCTAATACATAATATGTCTCTCCATTTTAAAAAACCTTCTGATAAGAGACTGGAGATATGGTTTCATCCTTAAACTTTACAGTAGACAAGCTAGATTTTATGAAATCATTTCTAGATATATATTCTAGCCTACTTACCAGAAATGATATATATGACATAAGGCCTCAGAATGATCACATGTCAAGAAACTGGAAGCAGATACCTTATTCTGCAGTTCTGCAGAAGAAAGCATAAGTTTTCATTAAATTGCTAGTTGTGTCCCTTTAATTGAAACGTCATGACACTTTACATAACAGAAGAACACCTTTCCTAAAATGATTACCTGGGGGGGATTAAAGATACAAAGGTATCTTGGCTGCAGACAGGAGAACAATAACAAAAATGACATGACACCTGTGATACAGTGTGCTCCTTACTGTAGTATTAAGTACTGAAGATTTATACACATTAGCTGGGTTCAACAGCAGCCTATGCTCAGATACAAAACAGATGTTGTGTTCTCACAAAAAAACAATTGTATGAGGGCTTCACTTGTGACTGACATGATAAAACAGTGGCTTCCCACCATTCACCAAACCACAGTTACTGCCTCCCGCCATTCCATTTCAAGGCTACCCCAGCTTTTGTGAGAATTCTGCTATTAGAAATTCAAGCTGTTTTAGCAAAAGCAAGGCAAAAGCAAGGAGGGGGGGAGGATCTTGATGCCCGAATCTGATGTACCCCAATCTTCTTGCCAATGTTCCTAATCTTCATGTAAGTGCTAATCTATGATGAAAAGACAAGACAAGCTATCTGGGTCAATACTGTCACACAATCCCCCAACCAATGATGATGATGGTTTATTAAACTTGTGGAATAGTGTCATTTGGCTGCAAGGTTACCTTTTGTATTAAGTCTGCTTGGGTGCACATTCTTTCCAAACAGTTTTCTTTTGTTACCATAAGCCCTCTCCCTACAACAGTTTATTTAGTGAATGTTCAAAGTTACAACAGTATTTTTCACACTTATGACATTTGCAGCTGCTCCACAGTCATGCAATTTACGTGCCAATGCTTGACAACTGGTCCCTATTTATTTCAGCTACAGTGTCCCGGGGTCACATGATCATCTTTCGTGACCTTCTGATAAGCCAAGTCAATGGGGGAAGCCAGATTAGCTTAACAACGGTGTTACCAACTTAACTAATTTTACTAATTTCACAACTGCAGTGATCCGCTAACAAATGTGGCAAGAAAAGTCATAACATGGGGCAAAATTCACTTAACAATTTTCTCACTTGTTGTAACATAAATTTTGGGCTCAGCTGTGGTCATTAAGTCGAGGACTACCTGTACCACAGAGAAGACTGTCTTTGGGTGAGGCCACAAAGGGCTTGGTCTGAATGGAAAGAACTTCTTCTGCCCAGGACAAATTGAGAGGGCAGATTTCACCCAAATCAACTTCCTCCACACACTCCTTCCCTCCCTGAGCCCCCTTTTTTTGCAGTAGTTGGCGGAAGGTGGGTGCCAAAAATAAAAAGGCGAGGCGACGAAGAAAAATCGGACTGTCTGCATGAGCCCCTTCCTCCATGGATTCCCGGGGAAGTCAAGGCAGGTTCCCCATCAACAGAACCAGAACTGTGGCTGTTTGGGGTCCAAACCTCTCTAAGCACCCCGGCCGCCTCCTCTTGCTGCCACTTCCTCACCCCTAGAAATGTAAAGGTCTGGGAAAAAACTGGAAAAATTGGGGGTGAGAGTGTTTTCCCCCCATTTTTTAAAATAAGGTTTTGGGGAAAAGGGGGGAGAGAACTGTTTTTTCCTCATCTTTCCAGATTTTTTCCCCCATCCCTACTCATCCCCAAAACTGATGTGCCAATGGCCAGGAGGACGCAGCCTGTGATCCAAAGACTTGGACGGGTGTGTCTCCCCTTTGGGGTGGAGGCGCCCTGAGCACTGGGCCTTCCCATGCTCTTCCCAAGGGTCAGCACCGCTGGGGAAACCCCCCCCCCCAAGGATGGAAGCAAGGCCTGGAGCAGCTGGGATCCTCTCACCGGCCGTCTGCAAGCAAGCTCCCGGCTTCTCATCACAATGAGGCTGATGAAGCAGCAGCTTCCTCAAAGTGACTTTCACCTGCAGACCAGGCCACCAAGACACCGGAATGAGCAAAGGGGAGGATAGAGCAGCAACTGAAGAACGGGCACAAGGACACTCTAGCTCCACGTCTCATTTTCCTGTTGGATACCAACACCAAAAGTGCAGCTGCTTCTAGAGAGGAGGAGGGGAATTATGGCTCCCCTTATGACTTGTGGACTTCAACTCCCAGAATCCCTGAGCCAGTCTGGTACCACAGCTGCATACCCTCCTCCCAGTTGTACAGACTTCAGCTTCCCTAATTCTCCACAATTACCATTCCTGACTGGGAAATTCTAGGAATTGAAGTCCAGGTGGCTGGGAAGGATGAAATTTAAAGGTTAAGGGTAATTTTAAACAAATCAAATTCAAACAAATTACAGCTGTGGAGAGCGTCTATCCAGTGCTGTGCATAGCCAGCTTTCCTGATCTCCTTTTCCAAAACTACATCCTAGAATGGAAAAGGTGGAGTGTTTTCAAGCTAGTCTCACAACCCTGAAAATTATTAGACTTAAGTTAGTGTCATTTGCCCCCACTATTCATAATATGGAAACAGTTGTTTCTCCACACCAGCTAAACAAATGGGCCAACTGAGTGTGTGGTTGTTTTATATGGTCTAACTCCCTGGCTTTATTAGGTTTAAAAATATTTCCAGTTAAAAGAAAAAAAATCTGTTTTCCTTCCATCCTAAACCTGAAGTGAACTCTGCACCAACATCTCACATAGACTGCTTTAATCACATATTAGGGTTTTTTGCTTTCCAGAAGGATCTGCTTCTATTGAGATATATATCCAGTCTTGTTATCAGTGTTCTTTCGTGCTTCAGGCTCAGTGGTGGGATTCAGCTGGTTCGCACCACTTTGACAGAACCGGTAGCTAATTTCTTGTTGCCCAGGCCCAGAATGGACTTCTGAAAGCAGCATTCACATAGAGAACCCGTTGTTCACATATTTGAATCCCACCATTGTTCAGGCTGCATGATATAGAGCCAAGTTACATAAGGATGTGAAGGGTTCTGGAACAAAGGGAAATTGTGTAGTCAAACTGTTGTATTCTTGTTTATTTTAATTAGCTTTTGCACCAGAGAAATTTCATGCAAGCTTGGGAAATGTATACATGGATGGGATATACTGAAGGAGGGAATAAGGGACTGTTCAGGAATGATTGATGTCTTTCTTATGATATAATGGCTTTGTTGTCTGATTTTCATTGGCTAATAAAGTGGATAAAGCAATTCTACCAACTTTCTAAGACGTGGCACTTTTGGACGTGACTCTGCCATGGTTCCAGATTGTTGGCCACCCAGCTGATTAATTTGATCAAATAAAGTGTTGCTTAATCAAGAAGTCTCGTCTTGGGTTATTTAATTAGATTAATATGGTATCTCAAGTATAAATAAAGGACTTGGACATTACAGCACCATGCATGTATTTAATTTGTATGGTGCCATCACAGCACACATGCCTCTGATTCCCTAGTAGATACTGCCTTTAAGAGTATATAGAAAATACACAAGAGCAGACATAGCACCCAAACATTTTTTCCCTCTAGAAAGATATATAGCTCGGGTCTTCAAACTTGGCCCTTTTATGACTTGTGGACTTCAATTCCCACAATTCCTCAGCTAGGCACACTAGAGTTTTGAGTGATATTTTCACTCAACTTTTTAAACCATGAGTCTCCTCTTCATAAAACAGAGTTGTTGGCTTAGCCAGCTAGTCTGCAAAGAAAGACACAATAATCTAACACAATGTGTGAGCCCATGTGATATCTGATGCCCTTTTCAAGATCAAATCTTTATGTGTTCACTGGCTGCCTATGATAAGAGGAGGCAACATATGAGGCTATTCAAAAATGTTGAAATCAAGACCATGTACCCATGTAAATTTTTCACATGGTACTTGCTTAGCTCAGAACATGGGATTAGCAACTAAGAAATGAGCAGATGTGAAATGGCTGACTCTGGTGTAATAATTTCTGTTATCACCCATACAAGCAGCTACAAAGTTTCCCATGTAAATATAAGCTATTTCACGTAAAGAATGGAAAGGCTTCTATCTTGTTAATAGGGGTCCAGTGAGAAAGCACCACATATACCACAGTAATGACATCTGTCCCATTCTTTGAGAACATTACCATAGATAAAGCAAGTGGTAGAACACATTCATGAATCATTAACTGAGTTAGCAGGATAAACACAGGCATGGGTATTGTGCATTTTATTAGAATGGGTAATATCCAAGGTTTTGTACTATTAAATGATTCAGATGCTCAAGCAGACAAGAGCCATTTCAGACAATCCTTCAAATGCACATATAGAAAGGACTCAGCAGTGCAACATCCTGAGTAGGGGGAGATATTGGCAGACAAAAGACCATCAGATTTTGCCTGGAAAACAGCCATTTCCCCAAAGTTCATCCCAGTTGTCAACCTGCAAAAGAACTAGACATTTCTTTGATCACCGTTTCTCAATAAGAGTGATCCCGTTAGAACTGTAACACTTCCATACAATTATGCTTCTCAATTATGTCCTGAAAGAAATCCTTTGAATACAGTTCTGAATGGAGGTTTTTGACTGTGTGGAGTTAGTAATCAATTGTTTCCCAGATGGACTGGAACTGCAAGACCCAAGATTGATATGCCAGGGATTCTAGTGCTTTACTCCAAAGTATTTTGGTCTGACCCTTCATGGCTGACCCACTGAAAAGGGAGAGATCTTTTACTGAGTGTCTTCCTTTGCCCCCAACTGGTTTCTTGTACAAAAATGCTTTAGCCAGACTTACGTAATTTACTTACCGAAAAAGAAGGGCACAGCGATGAGTATAGTTATTTATACCTCTGGCAGACATGGAGATCAGAGCCTTTGGCATTCATAGCTTTCTCACAGTGATGGAAATCTACCAGGAAAAATAAATCAAAATGCATCTAATCTAGGATCCAGAAGAGCTCTTAAAACAGAACTGTGTATAAGCCTGAAGAATCTACAAGACTGTGTATTATCCAACACCTGGGTCTCCAAAATAAAAAAAGAACTTCCCTGTATCCACCATTTTGCCCTACAACACATCCAAATATAGTGATTCAGCCAGTTCACACCAATTTGGCAGAACCGGTAGTCAATTTTTTGTTGCCCAGGCCCAGAATAGACTTCTGGAAGTGGCATCCACACAGAAAACTGGTTGTTCACATATTTGAATCCCAGCACTTGTCAGGCTGCATCATATAGAGCCAAGTTACATAAGGATGTGAACGAGTCTGGAATAAAGGGAAATTGTTTAGTCTAACTGTTGCTTTCTTGCTTTTTCGAATCGGCTTTTGCACCAGAAAAATTTCATGCAAGCTTGGGTAACGTGTACATGGATGGGATATACATGTATATGGATGGAGGGAATAAGAGAGTGTCTTTCTTATGTCTTTCTTAGGATGTAATGGCTCTGTTGTCTGATTTTCATTGGCTAACAAAGTGTATAAAGCAATGCTACCAACTTTCTGAGACGTGACACTTCTGGACGTGACTCTGCCAGTGTTCCAGATTGTTGGCCATCCAGCTGCTTAATTTGATCAAATAAAGTGCTGCTTGATCAAGAAGTCTCTGCTTGGGTTATCTGATTAGATTGATACGGTATCTCAAGTTTAAGTAAGGGACTGGGATCTTACAGGTGAGAAACTGGCGTTTTTTCCCCATCTGTCCTTCTGCCTCGGAGTGGAAGAGATCAAAGTGATTAATCAAATATTTTGAACTGTGCATTCTTGCCAAAATTGTTCCCATTTCTAAATTCCAGGCAAACAGCTTGCCGTGCAGAGTTGAAGCTATGGTGCTGATCAGAGTTCTAGCAAACCTTCTGATACTACAGCTTTCTTATGGTAAGAGTCTGGACAATGGAGTAAGGGGTGGACGGAGCTTTAGGTGTCTTTTTCGGTTTAAATCTCCAGTTACAGGAGTAAACTTGCATGTAATTATTAACTGTAGACGTACAAGCAGGTCACAGGTAGAGAGTGGGCGAAGAATGCGCAGTTGGTGTAAATGGGGAAGACCATTGCTGTATTTGTAATGATAGTATGAATTGATACATTTATTCATATCAGCAAAACCAGGCAGTTAAAAATATATAATCCAAATATGGTCAGTTTCCTTTCGTGTTTCTATTTATTTGGCAACTGACTTCAATAGAGGAAGATAACCTATTAATTAATATAAAATGCATTGAAAAAAAAAGTTGGGAGGGGGTTTTCAGTTGGCTCAAACTATTTTTAGTGAACCAAATACTAATATTATCAACTTCCCATAGAGTAAATTCCATTTTCATTAATCTCTTCCCCATTTCCACTCCTTATGCCCCCTATTCTCCCCATCATGAAGCCATATATTTGGCTTAGCAATGCAGTACAGCAAGATCAGACTCTGGACCAAATGCTTCTAAATGTCCATCCTTTTTAGAAACTCATCTGAACACACTGGCACATGTTAAAAGTGAAATTCTGATGCCCTTTCTCAAGTGTTTGTGTGTGCATGGCTTTTTTTGTCATAGAACGCCCAGAACGGAGTTCTGGCACCTTTTTGGGATGGAACCTTGTAGGATAGGCAAGGCGTGTGTGAGTTCCGGCATCTTTTATTTTTACAAAGAAGCACACACACACACACACATACACATTAATCACTTAAGATTCACAGGTAGTTTACCTACATGGGCATAGGCATATATATGATTTGCAAATAATCCATTTTATTCTACTAGTTTGATGCTTTGTGTCCCACAGTCATCTGTTACCCTCCAAAATTAGTGTACTGATAGAAACACTACCAATCAAAGCGATTCTGTTCTACTCCACAGCCAAACACTGAACGTTTTTGGTTTCTTCGCAGCACAAAAGTCTCCTGAACTGGTCACTGGAGGTGATGAATGTAACAGAAATGAACATCATTTCCTTGTAGCCTTGTATGACCCTGACAGGTTTCTCTGTGGTGGGACTTTGCTCAAAGAGGAATCGGTGCTCACTGCTGCACACTGCGACAGGTGAGGGTATTACAGAATGTGGTAGGGTTGAGGGAGTTCGTGTTTAGATATCCAGATTTTTTAATAAAGTTTCTGCTAGTTTTTAGTGACTTCTCTGTGCATTTTGAATGAATGTTATGCTGTTACTGTTATTGCACCTCACAATTATATCTTGAGGAATGCTGTTTATATTTATGGTTGAATTTCCATCTTCTTCACCATAGTATTCATATCTTTCCTTTTTTCTGGGATATAATAATAACAAGAATAACAAAATCTGGAACATTATCTGAATACCATCAACATTGACAAAATCACCACAGTCAATTGCAAAAGGCAGTCTTACTTGGAACATCCTGTGACAATCCCTTTAATACCATGGAACCACAAAATTTACCTACCCCAGGTCCTTGGGAAGGACTTGATAGGTAGATAAAAATGCCAAATCCAGTCTAAATATCTGACTGACTGCGCAACTAACCAGAAAATTAACCATATGCTGCCTGACTCTGGAGGTTTGCCATAAGAAAATAAATAAAAAAAATCAGTAAAAGATAAAAGATAAAAAGATGATGAAGTGAGAGGCTTCTCTCTCCCTTATCAAAGGCCTGGGTGAGGCACTACATCTTAATACCTCTTCTAAACAAGAGCAGAGTGGGCACCATCCAGATTTTGTTTTCGTATTTATCTATCCCACCATCCTTTGAGATAGGCTGGGTTGAGAGAGGATGTGCGCAATACAAAGTCATAACATTAGTACCGTAACCACATGGGTTCTATCTTTAACAGTCATTTATAATTTATAAGTGCAACATTCACTCAATACACATCCATGTCAAGAAAGAGATGGATTCATACTATGTGCAGAGCTTTTTAAATGCTAAACAGCACACAGGTGAATTCATGCTTGAAGTTTTTGCATAAACAATGGAAATAGCTTATTCAATCAGCTTGAATACATTTCTTCAGTGAACCTAGATCTCTAGGACATTGACTGTATCTCTTCCAATTTCTGGCAGGTTTTCCCCCCAAACACAGTAGGAGAAGGTAGGTTATGGCCCTTTCTTGTTTGGTGCTAACGATCCTGCTTGAGGGCTGAAATGAGATCAAAGACCATCCCAAGTAATATAGAGTTTACTTTAAATTGTTGTTGTTAACTTCTTGTTTTTCTTGTAGGAGAAATATGTGGATAAAGCTTGGTATGCATAGCAAAACTGTACCAAATGAGGATGAGCAGACAAGAGTCCCAAAGGAGAAGTTCTTTTGTCTTAGTACCAAAAACTATACCCTTTGGGACAAGGACATCATGTTGATCAGGTTGGACAGTCCTGTTAACAACAGTGAACATATCACGCCTCTCAGCTTGCCTTCCAGCCCACCCAGTTTTAGCTCAGTTTGCCATATTATGGGATGGGGCACAATCTCACCTAATAAAGGTAGGGATCTCTGTCTATACTCTCAGACCCAGCTTTTGATGTAACATCAACTAGGTCTAGGGTCCCACTATGTCACCCATGAATATTGGAATGTGGATGGACAATGCGATTCCCTAAGATTCCATTTATTCATCAGTTCCACACCCACAAGGAATAAAAGAAATAAGTAAGGAACTGGCATGCTGTATAGCTGAAAAAAAAACCCTATAGGATCAGGTTTATTTATAGCAGTGCTGTTGGGAATCAGAAAAGTCCCATTACATGGCAGTCTTGCCTGGCTTCATTACCTTTAATAATGGGGTGTTTTGTGAATGGCCATGGCCATTTTGGAAATGGAGAAGTCTCCCGCGGATGATGTTTTCAGAGTATATTTATCTCCTGCTCTCAAAATACCAAATATGAACTCAAAAACGTGATCTATCCTTGGATGGATATAAACTCTCTGTGGATGGTTGCAGAGGATTTCTTCCTTCTATGTCCTGGTGTTACAGTGGTTAGAATGCAGTATTGCAGGCTATCTCTGCTCCTAACCTGGAATTCAATCCTGGCGGGGCTCAAGGTTGACTCAGCCTTCCATCCTTTTGAGGTTGATAAAAGGAGACCTCAGATTGTTGAGAGCAATATGCAGATATTGTAAATCACCCAGAGAGTGCAGTGTATAGGTCTAAGTGCTATTGCTATTGCTAGTAAGGCCATGGAAGTGTTACGTGCGCTCTCAGCTTTGGCTTATGGTCATCCACACATTCAAGTCTGCCAAGGTAGGTACATCTTGTAAGCCCACCTTGTTTTCTACCGAGGTTTCTACCAAATAGGTGTAGTTAGAACAGACAAGTCACACAGCCGTTGTCAAGAGCTGGGAAATAATTAAGGACTCAAACAAATAATTTTCAACTAACTACTGAGGCACCACAGGATTTTTGGAATTCATGGAGACCCAGTGAAAAGTTCTTGATTTGTTGATTAGCTGGGATTGGGGTTTATTCCATATTCTCAGGCTCAACTTTGTCTGATTCAGATGACATTTTTCTTTTGTTTCCTCACATTTATTTCCATCTCATCTGTCCTCCCCAAGGGATCTTTTGGACAAGATTCCTGGCTTTTTGTTCTTGTACACAATACAAACCTATGTGTCTCCTTCATCTTCAGATATGGAAGTTTCAGTATGCTGGCTGAGGAATTTTGGGAGTGGAAGTTCACAAGTCTTAATGTTGCCAAGTTTGGAGACCGCTGTTCTAGGTCATCTCCAGGGGATGTGAGATCAGTTCTGTGACTTTTGAACTAGCAAAAGCCCCACTAGTCCAACAAGGCAATCTTTGCATAGAGTGCCAGAGAAATTTGAGAAGCCTTCAAATGCCCATCAGCTGATTTAAGACCTATTAATATCTTGACAAAAAACATTTAACTAAATCTGTTTTTCCCAGGAGTCCCTTTGAACGGCTTTGAAAGACAATTCTTCCTATTCTAGGCAGTGAGATCAGCTCCACTGGTGGAGACAATGGAAATTATAGGTAAATTGTGAAAGGTAGAAATGTTTTGACAAAAAACATTTAACTAAATCTGTTTTTCCCACGTATCCCTTTGAATGGCTTTGAAAGACAGTACTTCCTATTCCCAGGCAATGAGATCAGCTCCGTTGGTTGGAGACAATGGAAATTTTAGCTCTATGCATTTAGGTGGTAAATTGTGAAAGGTAGAATTTTGCCTATTTTTTATTTTTTTTCAGAGACTTATCCCAATGTTCCTCATTGTGCTAACATTAACATACTCGATTATGAGATGTGTCTAGCAGCTTACCCAGAATTTGGGTTGCCAGCAGCAAGCAGAACATTGTGTGCAGGTATCCTGGAAGGAGGCAAAGATTCATGTAAGGTAAGATGATCCGTTTTAAGACAGACTCCTAAAGGAATGATGCCAAATTTCAAATCTATGACAGAGATCTAGCCTTGAAGGCATCTTGTAGAAACATACAAAGTTACGGCTTTTTCTAACTCAAGTGCCTTCTAGGTGCCTGGATTTCCAGACTTCCCAATACTGGTGATTCTGGAGGGGCAATCTCAAGGAGTTAAATTCTTCTACAAGGATCCTGGATTGGGAAACATCAAAGTGAAACATTGGGGGCTATATGTAAATGGACGATGGGAGGGAATTGTTTGCTTCACTTCCCATTCATAGATACGGTAGTAATGTTTCATGTTTGATTTTTCTCAACAGGGTGACTCTGGGGGACCCCTCATCTGTAATGGACAATTCCAGGGCATTTTATCTTGGGGGAATGATGTTTGTGGTTACATACTTCAGCCTGCCCTCTACACCAGGGTCTTTGATCATCTTGACTGGATCCAGAGCATTATTGCAGGAAATACAGATGCAACCTGTCCCCCATGAAAACTTTTGAAAAAGTTAGGAGGAGAAAATGTAACATATTAGTACATCTCTTCTATATCCCTAACCATATCCAACTACATTGGAATATATTCCCAGGCAGTAAGCTTTTTTTAGATTCAAATAGGACTGCCTTTGGAGTAAGAAATGCTCAAAATAGTGTTGCAAGGATAATGTCCCATTTAATTTCAGTATCAAACAATCTCAGTAAAATGGAGGCCTGTTTTAGGGTGAGGTGCAAACTTTTCTGACTCTAAAATGGACCATTCCAAATATTTTAACCTCTGAATATCTTTCCATTTCTGTTTACGTCTGGGACAGTAGGGTCCTTGATGCTCTCTGAGCTTGTCTTCTTGCAGATGTTTCATTACCCAGCTAGGTAACATCATCAGTGCTAGAATATTCTCTTCTATTAATACTTCTGTGGCATTTATAATACACTCATATGGAGTCATGCGGTCACCCCACAAACATATCCATATACCCGGGTCCCACTGTGTGTAAAAAGGATCCCAGATTAACCACCACTTCCCAATCACTAAATAGAATCTTTTGGGAATCATGTTTTCATGTAAATTCTCAAGTATCCATAGCAATAAAATCATATAAATCGTTGCTCGTTTTCTGATCCTTTGGTTTTGCAAAGGAATGGCAGCATTTGACCAACTGGGCTTAAAAGCTGAAAAAGCTCTGACCTGGACATCCAGTTTTGCATGCTTGAAACTGAGTAAGGCATTTGATCTTCTTTTTTCTATTCTATATTTAATTTCCTGGAAAAGATCCCCAAGAAGCAAAATACCTCCAAAAGGCAAGGAGGGGGATTTCCTCCCCACCCTTATACTAATGGAAGTGGTGAATTAAGCTTTTTATGGAGCATCAAAATATATGGAAGTGAAACAAATATAAAACCTGAAATTTAAAACTCAAATCTGAATATATCTAAAATTGTTGAGACTCTCATTCTATAGATAATTGGTCATTTTGAAAATTAGAAAACAAATTGATGCTAACACCTAGTGGTGGATGCAGACTATAACAGTTATGACTTTAATATAAGACTTGGCAAAACCTGGGAAATGCTTATCTGTGTTTGTGGCCTTCAAATCTCTGACAAAAAAAGGGACAATAATCTGGGCTGTAGACAAAGAGAATTATAAATTTCAGGAAAAAAATCTTTTTTGAACTATTTGGATTACAAATATCTATTTAATCGGGACTCTAAAGCTATTTGCAGAAAAAATAGAAGAAGAGAAAAACTGAAATTCTTGGCCATCGTGGATCAGAGACATGTAAAAAGAATATATCAAGAAAACATAAATACTCTATAGGTGGAGATACATAGTATACTGCAACTAATTCAAACAACAATGATTTTAAACCACAAAGAAATCCAAAATAACTTTGAAAATATAAATCAATCTATTTCCAAGTTAACTCTACAAAAAAAAAAAAAATCCCAGAAAACAACAGAGAAGGAGCAGATAAAATAGATAAATAGATACAAAATTGAGACAAGGAAACATGATGTAATCCCAGTGGGGGGAAAATCGCAAGAATTGGAAAAAAACATCTTATCCCTTAAGACTGCAAAATAAATCTGAGGACAAGAAAACAGATTGGATAAAATGGACTGTGGAGATGTCAGGAACATCGGAGAGTAAGGAAATGATCAGAGAAGTGGAAAGAAAAATAAACAGATTTTCAACAAACATGGAAAGGCAGAAGCCCTGTACAAAGGCACTTCATCTAATTTACTTTTTATATCTACACTATTTATGAACATATGGAAAAATCTTTTGATTCAGCAAAATACATTGTTTAAGAAAGATACCGAGCAAAGGAAAAAGACCAAATGAAGAAAATAGATGATGGGACCTACCAGAGAGAATACTTTAAAAAGAAACATTTGTTTGAATATGGTTAAAGAAATAGAAAAGATTTGGAATATATACTGTATGTCATTCTAAGAGGGATGAATCCCCTAAATAATATAGTATGCTTTTCCCCCTTTTTTATTCTATTTCTTGATATGAGTAATATAAAAAGTTGAAATGGCTTAGATAAAGGAAATGTTTTAGATGATTATAATGGATAAAAGAGTTAAAGGACTAAATGACTAGATGTATTAAATGGAGATGTCATGGTTCCGACTAATGAAACACTTCAAAGAACTTTCAGGCATGTTTATCCTAAAGCCTTTATTACCAGTGTTACAAATTGACGGCATATCATGGAGTTTTATGCCAGAATCTGAATTCCTTTTGCTGGCATCTAACTTTTCTTGCTAAACCCCTTTCTTATCTTGCAGTCACAAGTCACATCTTCCAATTAGCCCAGAGGGCAGAGATTTTCTTCCATTCCTTTTCCTGGGCTTTTATTATTTCCTCCCCCTTTTTTCTGTCATCTGAATTAACTCTAAAAATACCAGACAGTTCTGCATATTTTGTCAAAGCAAGAATATTCAATATTAGCAGCATTGACAGGATTTTTAATATTTTTAATTATGGTTAAAAAGAATAAGAAATCTTGGAAACAAATATATATTAGCTTAGGAGGGATATATATTTTAAGTAGTATGTTATTTTTTATGTTTCTTTACTCTAGCTCTCCTTTCTTCCTTTTTTTCACTATTTTATCCCTCGTAAAAGTGTGAGATGATTCCTATGGAAAAAATAGAGTTAAATTTTTAAAGGTAATTAATTTTTGACAAAATCTTAACCAGTAAGAATACTTAGAATCTTTTGGAGAAACAAATTTAAATAAGGACTGTAACAGGATCTATGATAAGGCAACCAGAATGATTGGATATTTTGCGGAAAAGAGGAAATCAATTAAAACTATTAAGTGGATTATGGATTATAGAAATTGATTATAGAAAGTGATTGTTTTACAAATGTAAACCTAGACAACACAATGTTCAACAATTATTAAGTGATTTATGTTTTAAAAAAATCAATAAATTACAAAAAAAAAAGAGAAAACGTTCTGATCTGGTGGAAAAGATACTACTAGAGTGGGAAATTGGAAAAAATATTCTGAAGGACAGCAATGAAGCTCACAATTGCTTAGGTTCATATAGGTCAGGAAGCCATCACCAAACCAACCTGTTTGATCACTTAATGCAATGTTTAAAGCCAACGGACGTTTGTTCCTACCATTGATGGATTGCTAGCAGAGATCAGATCATTACATAACCTAAACTGAACTAGGTTTGATTCTTCTATTATTGAGAACTCGGCTTCATCTTAGGTAGTCCTCCCTTGGCAGTCCTTTTAACAGGACTCATTCTCAGATAAGTCTACCTTGGTCCTTCCTTTCATCTACAAACCAAATACATTGTTCTTAACCTGTTTAATTCAATAGTATGCAACATAGCAATAATCATCTTGGATACATTTTTGACCCAATGAGGACAGGAGCAGTAAGGGCTATTAATCGTGAACGCTTCCAAGTTGGGGGAAGTACGGTCCAACTATCAGGTGCAGGGGATGCCCTCATTTCTTGCTTGTGAGTACTCCAGAAGTATCTAGTGGGCACTGCGAGAAACAAAATCTTGGATCGAGATACATTTGGGTCAATCTAGCAGAGCTATTTATGCCCTGTTATCTAAAGCAGGGGTGAGAAGCCATCAAATAGAAAAGAACTGTATATTTAACTTTTATTAACATTTCATGTAAATAAACTTAAGTCATACTGAGTGTCTGGCCCAGCTCCAGGAAAGCTGCATCCCAGTAGGCCATTCAAAAACTAAGCAAATCTGTTGAGCCAGAAAAAAAGCTCCTGGATATTTGCGTTGTGCAAACCCAGACAATGATGCTTATGGCCCAAGACTACAAGCATAGGTTGTATTTTTAGCAATGGCTAAAGGAAATCAAACATGGGCAGGCCAAGCAACCAGTAGCCTTGCAAGAAGTGCTTTTCCCCCCGCCAGTTTCTTTGAATGTAGTAAGACTGATATGAAAAAAATGGAAAAGAAACTCTTAAGAATATGAATATATGATATTTTCAATCAATATGTAAGAAAGTATCTTTCTTCCTTGCACCCATCCAAAAATACCCCTGTTTCTTCATGCAAGTAAAAGCATGTCTAAAAACATGGTCATTTTTTTACAAGGCAAGTGGTCTGTTTTCCAGTAAAAGGCATTGAGACGAAGCAGGAGTAACAAACAGTCCTAACTTTATTCATGTTACAACAGAACCAAAACAAAATGTCGAGCATGCCTTTTATTTCCCCCTTTGCAGGGCCAGTGCCAACCAATAAATGCAACGTATTTCTCCCACCTTGTGCATGCGCACAAGGCTAGAGACAGCCTGTCTTGTCTCGGGCATCCACGTGGCCTTCACGGGCCTTCTGCAGCCTCCTACACCTGCTGAATGACTCAGCAGGCCCGTGACATAACACTCCTCCCCTCTTATTTCAAAACACAATACATTAATATTACACAGATAATATCCTTTCACTCCTTTATCTCTCCCACAAGGATATTTACTATTGTGCATGATTATAACTGAACACTTGTTCTTTTGAGTGTGTTCTGATTTCTAAGTAACCTTAACCCTGTCCACATACTGACAGGAGTCTTACGTAGTCCTGTCAGTGTTCAGGTGGACCTCTTGCTCGCTCTGACTTTCTTGGAGGGGTTGTGATGTCCTGGCCTGCAAACTCTCCTGCCAGGCTCAACAGGCCAGGACTGTGAAGCCCCCTGGACTCAGGCAACCACCCATGCTGCTGACTGGCTGGATCCTCTGAACCCAGACCAGAGTTCTTTGGTGGGGTGGAATTCCCCAAGTCCACAATGGACCCCTCTTGGGAGCACTGTCCCTTGAGCCCAAGACCAGCAGATGGATTGGCCTGAAAGACCAGTTGTGAGCAATGTCCCATTGACCCGGTGCAAGAGACAGGAGTGCCAGAGTCAAGAGCCGCCTCCATGGGAAGACCCCTTTCTAGTGCCTGGGAAGTTCTGCTTTTGCAGAGATACTGTGGTCCATGATCGTAACCGTGATCCTCCTCCCCCCGAGTGCAAAACCAGGAGCGGAAGTGTGGCTGGGACGTCTCCAGCGCAGTTGGTCGATGTGGCGATGGATCACCCGAACATCGTCCAAGGTCACTTCGTATGACAGTGGTCCAGAGACCTTGTATACCACAGCTGTCACCCAGAGATGTCCAGACCCATAGTTCCTTGCCAAGACCGGATTGCCCATCCGAAGTCTCCTAGGTGCCCACGGCTGTGACACCTGTGAAGCCACCCAGTCTGGGTGAAACCTGTCCAGTTTAGTAATGAGTCTGCGACGCCAGCGGAGTTCAGCTGGGCTTTTGCCAGTAGCTGTGCAAGATGTTTTGAGCTGGCACAAAAGAAAGTCAGGCAACCTGTGATGCCAATTGCCATGCTTGATCCTCTTGAGAGCATCTTTGGTTGTGCATACCATACACTCAGCTTGTCCACTGGAGGCAAGATGAAAAGGTGCTGACGTGGCATGATGGATCATGTTGGCCGGTAGAAAAGCCTGAAACTCACAAGAAGTGAATTGGGATCTGTTGTCAGAGACAAGGACATCTGGAAGTCCATGAGAAGTGAAGGTTCCTCTCAACACCTGGATGGTCCTGGCAGTAGTAG